CTGGGAAAGAGGCCCCGTGCCCGATGGATGACCATTTCCTGTCTCCTAGGACCTTCCTAAGGCCTGCCTGTGCCCTCAGATAACCTCCCCTTTCCTGGGTAGGTGGCATGTCTGCGGGTGTTACCCTGCCAGAGACTTTCACATTTCCCCAAAGGGTAAAAGGTGCGGGGTTTGGGAGGGTGGGGACATGACTGACCTCCGCGGGGAACCCTCTCCCCCCGACAACGCCCACAGGTAAAGCTGGCAGGGTCCCTGGAGCCAGTGCTCTGTCTGGGGAGCTTCCCAGTTAGGAGCCCCTGCTCTGGGGTGGACTTTGGGGTCCCCATACAGGGAAATGGTCAGCGCTGCCGTCCAGGCCACCCTCAAAGCGATTGTGTAAAAGGCTTTCGTGGCTGACCGGGCCAGATTAGACTCCCACGGATCCCAAACGCCCCTGGCAGCTCACTTTGTGGCCCCAGAAAGGATCATAACCCTCCCCTCCCCTCTGCTCCCCTCCACCCTCTTCAGCAAACTTCTATAAAGGCCAGATAGTCAATATTTTCACTCTGCAGGCCAGAAGGCGGAATCAAGTGTAACCACATCCCTGTGACTTGTGCGGCACCGAGCAGCAGTGGGCAGCGCCCAGAGCAGTTTCTGTGGAAACTCCCCCACTCTGCCTCTGGTGGGAGAGCACAGGCAAGATGCAAATGATGAGAGCGGTTGTGTTCCAGCACAACCTTATTTATGGGCACTGACATTTGAATTTTATAGCATTTTTATGTGTCACCGAATATTATTCCTTTGATTTTTTTCCCCCTGCTATTTAAAAATGTAAAAACTATTCCTGGCTCGTGGGCCTGTAAAAAGCAGGCTGTGGACCAGATCTGGCCAGTGGGCTGTCGTGTACTGAGCCCTGTACTAGATCTCTGGTTCTCGGCTGGAAAATTAACACCCAGGCCTTGTGGATGTGCCTTAAATTTGAGAAACCCTGTCATAGAGGGACCTGCAGTTTCCCAGGTGGTGCTGATGCTGCCAGTAGGAGGACTACACACTAAGTAGCATTGATCGAGTCTGACCTTTACCCCCATTTTACAGATGACAAAACTGAGGCCCAGAGGTGACATAGCTCTGTCATATGAACCCAGGGAGAGGCTGCTTCGTCCTAGGATACAGAGCAGGGTGGTTTTCTGTCTCTAGCTGCTTTCAGAGATCTGCCAGCTCACACCTACCGAGGCTCTAGCCCAGACACAGGAAATGTGCGTGTGTCCCCTGGAGGCCCGAGCGGCAGGGCTCCAGTGAGTCATTTCCCAGGAGTGCAGACGTGTGCACTGAGGCAACCCTGTGCTGTCACCCAGCTCCCCCCCGCCGACCTCCCCGCTGTGCTCTAGAGAAACTCCCTGCCTGGCTTCAGGATCCGTACAGCAAGACGAGAGGGAAGCTGAAAGCCCCATCGTGAGAAGGGGACAGGGAAGAAGGGGGGCTTGGATATCAGACTTCCATCATTTCGAATATCACTATTGGGACTAGCTGGGACCAGAGGCGAGTTACTTAACCTCTTCGAGCCTCAGTTTATTCATCAGTAAAATGGGAAACCACTCTTACCTCTGCAGAGTTGCCATAAGGATTAGTGATCACCTTTGTCAAGTGCCCGGCACATAGTACAGAACTTTTGTGGTATCTTTATTAGCCACCCTGGCATTCTGACGTAACCACAGAGATACCCAGCCACAGCCTGGGCAGCCACATGTGCTCCTATGACATTCCCATCGGTTTAGGTTGGAGTGTGGAAGGCCATGTCAGAGTCTGTACCTGGGACCCTTGGGTGGCCCTCAGGACCTGGGAACCCACTGAAATCGTACGCCAGCATCTAAAAATGCAGATGTGCATTTTTCTGGGAAAGACGCCAGGTTTTTCCTCAAATCAAAGGGTTCCGTGTTCCAAAAAAAGCTGAAGGACGCGTATCTCTAAAGCCAAGGCATAAGGAAGCACCAAACTTTTGGGACAGAGTCCTGGGTTTGGGAATCAGCTCCCTGATCCTGATGTATTGGGCACATTGCACATCATCTGATTCAGATCTGGCCTTCCGTTCTTCACTGATGAGAACTGTGGCATGCCTCGCCCACCAGTCCGGAGTCAAGTGACGTCCTATGGAGGAAAACCGGAGTAGGGCAGCCAAGGACGGGCGGGGCTCTCAAAGCGGCCACCAGGCAAGCAAGGGGCCTTGCAGGGACCACCCTGCAGGGTCAGTGTGTTTGCTTCCAATTTAAATACATGGGGGTTTAAAGTGCATGGCTCAGTGGTTGAGCGTCGACCTATGAACCAGGAAGTCACGGTTCAATTCCCAGTCAGGGCACGTGCCCGGGTTGCGGGCTTGATCCCCACTGTGGGGCATGCAGAAGGCAGCTGATTGGGGGGTAGGGGAAGCCGGGGTATTGTCAAGGGCGGGGAAAAAAAGGACACATATGTAATACCCTTTGTAATGCTTTAAGCAATAAAAAAAAAAAAAAAGGCAGCTGATCAATGATTCTCTCTCATCATTGATGTTTCTGTGTCTCTCTCCCTCTCCCTTCCTCTCTGAAATCAATAAAAATATATTTTAAAAATATATAAGTAAAAGATAAATAAAATGGGTGAGATTGAGCTGTGGTGATCGTGGTGCCCCTCGGGGAGAGTCAGTGATAAAAGGTGTCGGAAGAGGACTGTGGAGGTGCAGCCCAAGTTCCAGGTCTTGGCAGGGAGCTGGCAGCACGAGCCTGTCCCCTTGGTGAAACCATCTCACCGGATGCTGGGGGTTCGCGCATATGATGCTCCAACAGAAAGTTTCCTCAAAACATCTTCAGCTGAGGAAGGTGGGAAAATGAGGTCAAATCAGCTCGTTGGGGATTTTTCTATATAATTTTGCAGTGAAGTTAGCACAGAGCTTGAAGAAAGAGTAATGTATATATAAACACAAATAACAGAGTAAGATTTTAAAATAATCCAAAGGCCAGATTTAGGTATCTTTCTTCTGAACCCAAACTGCTATCTAAGTCTACTTACGTAACGTTGGCTTTCTTTAATTATCTCCCAGGGCCCACAGGCTGTCTCGGGCCTCTGCACAGCCATGAGGGACCCACCTGGGTCTGGCCTATTTTGGGTAGCCCATCCGCCGGGGCGGTGGCTCGCTCAGCACACCCCTGAACCCGGAGTGCTGTGTCCCATCCCCTCTCCTGCGAGGCTTCCCTCCCGGGTGCTTCCCTCTCCCTCCCGCTTCACGGGCGTCCCACTCTCCTGTGGTTTCTTCTCATCAGCCCCGCAAAACTCACCTGAGGGGGGAACTTCCCTTGACCCCACAGTCCCCTCCAGGAACCATCCCATTTCTCTCTGCCCTTTTTTTATTAAAATATTTTTTTATTGATTCCAATCATCGATCAGCTGCCTCCTACATGTCCCACACTGGGGATCAAGCCCACAACCCGGGCATGTGCCCTGACCCAGAATCAAACCATGACCTCCTGGTTCTTAGATCAATGCTCAACCACTAAGCCAGACCGGCCGGGCTTTTTTTTTCTCTTTCTTCCCTTTAGAGGCAGTGTTTTCTTTTTCTTTTCTTTTTATTTTTAAAGTTTAATTCAATTTATTGGGGTAACATTGGTTAATATCATTATGTAAGTTTCAGGTATACAAATTTATAATACAACATCTGTGTATTCCATTGTATGCTCGCCACCCAAACTCTAGTCTCCTTCCATTACCATATACTTGACCCCCTTTATATCTTCTTCATCCTCCCCCCGACCCCCTTCCCCTCTGGTAACCACCATACTGTTATCTATGTCTATGAGTTTGTTTTGTATGTTCTTTTGTTATTTTCTGTTTTATACCCTACATGAGTGAAATCATACGGTTCTTGTTCTTTTCCATCTGACTTATTTCACTTAGCACGATAGTCTCAAGATCCATCCATGTTGTTGCAAAAGGCAATATTTTGTCCTTTTTATGGCTGAGTAGTATTCCATTGTATATACAGTGTGGGACAAAAGTGGGGTTACAGTTGTT